AAAAAAAAAGTATTTATTGTTTGTTTTTTAATGTACATATATATATATATGAAGTCACTGGGTTTGGCATTTTACAAATATTTTACAGTTTTAAAGACTCCATTCCCCACAAACAAACATTTTCCCTCAAGTTAATGGAAAGCAAAGCTAATTTTTTCGAAAGCTGATGCTATTTTGTCGTCTGTTGATGTGGGTTCAATTCACCACAAACAACAACGTGGCAACTACAAGTTCAGCTGCATATACTTCATTTAGGGTGGTGAGGACGGGGTTCAGTCTAAACAAATCTCTATAGTCTCTATTCCCCCCTACACATGTTTACTCTGAATCCCAGGCCAAACTCTTGGCCACCCGCTGATCACCGAAATTAACAGTTTTGTTGTGTTTCTGGGAGTCTCACAAGGCTGTTGGTACAACCCAGAGCCCTCTACAATACCTCCTCTGTTGAATGCTTTTTTTTGTTTTGTAAAATATTTTTTGTACGTCATGCAAGTTAGTTCTGATGCTGTTTTGCTGCTTTGATTTGTTTTGAATTTTTTTGTTTTTTGTTTAAATAACTTACAGGACAGACACATGTAATTAGCAGCGCCTGACTTAAAGGAAAATTAAATTTGTCTGGGAATGAAGTACAATTTGGACCAATTGAAAATACCTGATTATATTGCCATCAGAGTCAATCTGCAGAGTCAAGTAGTCAAGTGATCCAATTCAACATATTAAACTCAAAGCAGATGCCTGGATACTCTAAACAGCCTTAATAGTGTACTTTGAAACATGTTAACTTTCCTTCTGTAAATAACAATCTCAAGTGTACCACCTACCCGTGTACCTACTGTGAACTTTGAATGACAAATGCATTAACATATTTTTGTACTGCCGTTGTAAAACAACTTAAAGTTTCATGTGTCACAGTGCGTCTTCTTTCTTTAAAAATCAAAATGTTCTTTTCCCAGCTGCCTTGTTATACCTTGTTATTGCCTCAATTGTAATTTAATAACAATACTTTACGCATGTGAAACAGCATCTGACATGTATTTGATGATATATAAATTTTTCTTAACTGTGTCACCGTCTTAATCACTTCAGCCAAATGAGATCATACTTGCACCCTTAAACAGAACTCATCAGCTGGGGTTTAGGGTGGTGGATCAGGCTCCAGCAGCCAGACAGAGGCTGTCAGTTTATGTGTGCTGTGGTTAGACCTCGTCTTCTGTGCGTGCAGTGGGTGAGTTGCCTTTCTGACATCCCTCGCAAGGCCACATGCGAGAGGAAAGAGAATGAAATCCAGCCTGTCCAGCTTTCCTCCCGTCTCCTCAGGGATATCCCCCGTCCTAGAAAAGGCGGGACGGGTCAGGGGGATGAAGGGTAAAGGAGCTAAGGATTGAATGTTTCGAAGCGCTGAGGCCTTGATACTGACTCACTTTCCTGTATAAAGTACCTCCCTTGTTTTTCTGTTTCTAGCCTTCCTCTTCTGAATCCTGCACTCCGCCATGCAGCAGCATCTGGTTCAACTTTAGGCAGATGTTTATATTCCTGTCCAAGTACCCTTTTATTACACTGGGAATGGAATTAGATGTTTTGTTAGTCCAAACAGGGCAAATAATAATGCCACAGCAAAGCTGTTGCTGTGCCCACTCATAAAATGTGTTGCTTTTTCAGAAATGTACATTTTAACATCGTTAGTATACTGTGTATAAAAAAGACCCAAACTAATTCAAATAATTTGACTCTGGCATTCTTGCATACACATATTGGTCAGCTTTTGTCATCGAGCAAACAGCCATGATCTCAATATGGTTTACTAGAGTTTTATAGACAAAAGAGGTAGCTAGTGTAGCTACTAAGCCAGTTTAGTTTTCCATTATTAATGTGGAATTCATGTTGCCGTAGCCAAAGTAAAGTAAAGTCTATCCCCAGCTCTGTATGGTGTCAAAAAATAAGAAAATATTCTTAATACTGTCATCCCAGGTGAAAAATTCTGCCTTCTACTTGCGAAGAAAGTTGGAGTGGAGCTGAAACAGCTTGCATTTTCTATATGTTAATATATTATAACTTTTAACCAACTAGTAACATATTTGTGTAATAAATATTTTTTTAAAATTCCCACACCTTTGCCATCTATATTATTTACCCCACCAAACTAGTCTCTTTTTTTTAAGTTTAAAATATGGCACCCCCACAAGAATTTGTAATGAATGTCTACCGCAATAAAGAATTTGCCACCCTTTTGAGGCACATATGTTGACATACCTGTGGTCTCCCCGTAAAATACACAAGTGGAAAACACAGCGAGAGAGGAGTTTTGGTTCACGTGTGCTGACTAACTACGCTCATTTAGGTACATTTTGTTTAAAACTAATTTTTTTTAAAATGTTGTTGTCATTATGACTGTGTAACATCTTCACCAGGAACAGCCTGGACATCATTACCACGTAGGCCTCCAGCTGATGTTGGATATGATGGGCCTGTGTCATAGCAGTGGTGGTAATAACATAACCACAGAGTAAACCTATGAGCCATTTCAGAGCAATTCTAATTACATCTACCGCTGACCTCAGGAATGCTGTGCCCACTTTGCTCCATATTTCATTCCTTTTACTACATGTTATGGTTTGTGGTGTATCCAAAGAGGTGTTAGCCTTGCTTCCCCTGGAACACGGTTTTGTGTGTGTGTGGGTGGGTGTATGTTAGTGTGTGTGGGTGTGAGTATGGATTCATCTCTGCTGTTGAAGCTCACCTGTTATGACCAAGGGAAAAGTCATGCACGTTACATCAGAGCCCCTTGGTGAGTTGTTTATATCCCTCCAAACACATGCGGCTATAATGTGACGCCCACACTGAAATTTGAAGGATGCGTCATCATCCTGTTCTGATATGTCGAGCTTCTTTCTCAACGACGTCCACATGGTATCATTTCCTCCAACTTGCATTACTACTTCCAGTAACAGCCAACATTTAGATCTGAAACAATGTTGTGATGAAACCCAGTGCTGTGGAGTGTTTTGAAGACCACCCACTCTCTGGATCGCGCCACTGGATTGTAAACATCTCCATCCCACAGCTGAAACTAATAGATATCAGATCCATCACTCCATCAGAAAATATCTGCCTCACACATTATTTCCCAGAGTTGTTCTGTTACATGACGAGTCTTTCAAATTTCCACATGTGCGCAATATTTTACGTCTGACAATAGTTTATTATGCTGACACAATAGCCAGTGCATCAGCCTTTTAGTTTATACTTTTAAATTACAGATGATGTTTTATACATTTCTTGGGAAAGCTTTTTGCTTTTTATTGCTTATCTGGAGTAACATGTTCTTTAGAAGCAAAATAATCTATCTGTCAGGGAACATATCACTGCTGATTATAACTCACTAAAGAGCCTTTATAATAAACAGCAATTAATAATAATTAGGCAATGTTTAGAAGTTTTGTTTCATGCCGTAGAAGTGTTATTTCAAAGCTGATTTTCAGAGATTATTTGTGGATGTCAGGTAAAGACAATGATGTCCAGAAAAATCCCCCAAAAGTTCTGAGAAACGTCTGCGAACACCAAAGCCACTTTCTTTGAGTCATTTGAGGCAACAGTAATGTAAAACTGCAGGCAAGTGTAGTGCAAAACAACAGCATTATCCAAGTACTGATCATCAACAACAAATCAGCAGAGTTAGGAAGTTGTGTAAATGCTAATTGTCCCAAATTATTCCTGGTGAATTGTTTCACTTCCTCATCATGACCTCTGGCTTCTCTGTGGGCTCTGCGTGTGGTCCGGCCCATATGTACTAGGAATCACAGGGAGAAACCGGACAAGCAAAATATACAGTAAGACTCTCTGCAAAATATAATTCCAGACATAATTATGAAATATTGATCCCTGATGAGTTCACTATTATATTCAAAAAACTATTGAGGGAATGTCTAGTCGTGGTTTTTAAAGTCTCTGGGAGCATTTATGCTGGGAAAATAGGCGCTTGTTGTTTCTCTGCCTTGACATTTGACAAGGTAAGTAAATTAGCTCTGGTTTGGGTTTGTGCTGAAATATCACACTGCACAAGTGAAAAGTCAGTCAAGTGTGATAATGGGGCTCTATTACATTCCTAACCTTGACTCAAATGAAGTCCAATTGTGCTGTTTGAGGCTTGGAGAGCTACCAGACCACGGCCAGTTTCACATCAGCTTTTCAGGTGGCTCACTTACAGAAACAAGAGTGAAATACCTTTTTTTATTAGCTTTGGCCAGCTACCTGCTTGTTTATCATGGAAAGTTGGATAGTTATGATGGAAAATTGCTTGAGCATTTATGTGCTGTCGTGTGTTACAGCATACCATGTAAATTCAGTAAAGATGAGAATGGAAAAGTTGCCTTTTCATTTCATTTCTCCTGCTCATTAGGAACTTCTGCAATAGCCACCAGGACACACCTAATTAAATCACCTGTTCAGAGAACCTTTGTTAGCTGAAGAAAAATGTACCAATGACAAGCTCAGGAGATTCATATGGCATCTATTCCCCAGAATGCGAAGCTTAACATCTTATAAACAAACGGATGGTTTAAATGAACTGACACCGTGTTTAGCGGACACTCTAGTGGTGTATAGCATACGCTTTTGCTGGTACGAGACACACAAACATTGTTGATGCTCTATGAGTATTATGGCACTCTGTAGTTTCATTCATGCAGACAGACATACAATACCTTTACACATCTATACAAAACATGTAAAAGCCATGGACTTTTCTACATAACAGAACAATATAGTGACCTTGATGTCACCCACTGGTTTGTGGACTCTGCATTTAAAGTTTGGGGTGTAGCATTATGGCTGACACCAGCGGCTACATTTGAGCGAGAAGTGAGGGTGCTATGTTTTCTATGCAATGGACTGGTTAGC